TTTTATTGTTCTGAAATAATTACAGACTATGTGGAGTTATGAGGGTGCCAAGCTAATCTAGACGTAGCCAAGATTAAACATTAAATGGAAATGAGCATGCCACGAGTGACTGGATCTTCTGGTATTCCGGTCGGTGACTGTTCTACAGGATACGCTGTAGGCCTTTAGCTAATGGAGTGCTCCTAAGCATAGTTGACTGATTTGTTCCCTCGATGCGTTATATGGCCCTTCTGGGCCAGAAAAATGTTTGTCACCTTTTTGGACACCCCTGGTATATTTTACAAACATATTCCCATAAAATACAGCTTTTGAAACAGCTGTCTGATTTTCAGTCACTTGCGCATCACGTCCAGCTCTCTCCATCACTGCCCGCACTCCCTCTTCCTCTTTCAGTAGCAATTGTGTTTATGTAGCACTTTTTAAAAACAAGTGTTTAACAATAACAACATGCAACACCAAAATCATACAACACACCCAGGCATCAGAAATCACAACAAACATTAAGACTAACCTACAATACTACATCTTGTCATATAAAACAGGTTGTATAATGGTCACAAAAGGAGAAACACGATCAATAAAACTCCTGGCACCTGAAAGTAGTTGGTGTCAAAAGCCACAGAGAGCAAATGAGTTTTAGGACATGACCTGCCAGGCTCGGAGCAGACATCATCTCCAGTGGAAGGCTGTTCTGCAGTCTTTGTCCAGCAATAGCAGGGGCGCGATAAGCCTGGACCTGGGCACGGTAAGTACCAGCTGGTTGGCAGAGCTGAGAGGTCTCCCCGGCACATGGTTAAGCAGGCTTCATTTGTGCTCTCCTGAGGGCAAGGACGATGTTTGATTTGATTTATTTATTCTTTCAAGCATGTAAAGACAGTTGATATGTCAACACACATAATTTTACACATATCCAACAAATGCTAATCCAATATCAATTTGCTTATACCTAGTACATGCTTGAACGGAGTAGGAAGAAGTCAGACTTATCTAGTCCTACCCCATGACATCATCTTACCATCATTGGTTTGCAAGCAGTATCTCTACATAAATAATTCTCTTCTAGGCTGCTAGGCCATTCAAAACTGTAAAAACAAATAATACCAGTTTAAAATCCATTATGAACTGGACAAGAAGCCGGTGCAGTGATGCCAGAACAGGGGTTGTGTGGTCAAATGTCCTGTGTTTGTTAAAAGAGGAGCAGCAGCATTCTGGACGAGTTTGTCATTTGCAAAGAGCAAGATGACGCCGTTGCTGTCCCCGACTGTTCTGTTTGTTGTTGACCGTGCTGTTTCTGTTTCTGCTTTGCTCTCAGTCAACTTAAAAGTCACAGTCGGTGAACTTTGGCCTCCTGCTGACTCCGGCCCGCCACTCAATCACATGCCCTATCTTTGCCATTTATCTAAATCCCACAAATCAATTACAGAACACTGAGGTGAGTGAGGGGTTGGAGTTTTAATCTTTGCCCCGCTCCCCGAGCTCTGGCACACACCCCCTGGCACAGCTGTTTCTGGATTCAGCTGCATTTCAGCCCAGAATCGGTTTGATGTGCAGTTTGAGTAGGGCCTGGTGAGATTTGTGGCATGACAGAAATGTTGGTGGTCAGTTTGTGGTGTGAGCGGCTCCACTGTCTGATGCCCCACAAAAGATCTGCTATAAACTGTAGTGAACTGAGTTTTACACGTTGTAGCTGAAACTGAAGCATCAAGGCTGCTGTGGCTTACGACAGGACAGCTTCATACTCTTTCTTCTTGTTGTCCTTTCACTGATGACACAGCTTGTTTGTCAGTGATAATTCCAATAAAGTTTATTTAAACAAGACAAACAAACTGCAGATTTCAAACTGACATTCACTGTGGGCTCCACATCGAGGCCTTTACAGAGTCCCTGCACGTTTACGTGCATGGCAGTAATTGTTGGGCTCCACATCGAGGCCTTTACAGAGAAACGTGCAGGAAGTAATTGCGTTACTCAGAAACAGCAGTATACATGAGCTCCTAGGTAATCTGGCCCCCCACCCTCCCCACTAGGCCACTGAAAGCAGAAAGGCATTGTTTGGGTCCCATAAACAAAGATGGTCTCGGTTGATGGGGCTTGTATTTTGGTCTCTTTAACGATGTTTCATTTCACATTAGCGGCCCCATTAGTTGTGAAATTAATACAGCTGCTGCTCCTCGCCATGTTGATAATTGTGTGCTTACACCGGTGACAACTTCCTGTTTTTCTCCAGTTACATGCACACTAGCAACCTTGGAGCTTGGAGCACATGCGCTCTTCTAGAAAGCTGATTAAAACCTGGTTACGTGTATGCATGGCAGACAAATCGGTGTCCTCCGGGAGAAATCTTCCTGGGGAAATCAGGCCTCCCTAATTCTCTACCCTGACTTTGGAAACCGGGTTTCCTGTTTAAGAAATCAGCCGATTGTAACCTGGTTACTTAAGTGCATGTAAACGCACAGTCCAGTTGAACAGCAGCACAGTGGTCACACTGGTGTACCCACACCTCTGTGAAACCGTCTGAACCCAAACTCATCATCATCACCTTCATGACGGAGGGTTTACGGCAGCGCGGACTCAGTCTGACCCAGGTGTTCCTAATAAACTGACCACTGGGTGTACAGTATATACAGGAGAAAAATACTGGGGTAGAAGTGTAAAAAAATGAAATTCCACACCCTGCGGTAATAGACCGGACTCTAAAATAGCTTCTCGGGTTTCTTCCCTCTGTCGCTGCCTGTTTAGTTGCATTTTATCAGGAGCTGGCATATTTTTGACCTGAACACATACATACCTGAACTGGTAGGAAGAAGATCAGCTGTGTTGAACCTGTCCTCTAGTGCTGACGTTGTGTGGGAGAGCATGACAAAGCAATGGAAGAACGGTGACATCCATGCAGAGAGAAGAGAGGGAGAGAAGATGGAGGCTGGTCATTGTGTGTGGCTGTGGAAGCATGGTGCAGCAGGAAGGCCAGGTTTCAGTCTCACGCTCACTCTTTGCAAAGAATAAACAGAGGATTTGAAATGGTGATGAACTGTAAAGGACTTGTACTCAGACACACACACACACACACTCCCTTCACTTCCCGCTCCCCTTTAGAAATCCTAAACCCCCATTCAGCTCTGTTTGTGAGCGCAGGTCATGGTCGAGCTGCCAGCCCGGGAACACTGGCAGCCAGTGTGGGACCAGAGGCTGGAACTGGGAGACATAGCATTTCCAGCCTGGTGTAAAAGCACAGCTGAAATGATAAGATGACTTAATGCACTGTCAAGTACCAGAGTGTTAGCCCAGGCTACTGTGTGAGCAGAGAAATGCTAACAAGGTGCTCGTGTGCCACATGATGACGCACTTGATAAGTGAGAGAGTGTTTTTCAGGGCATTTCTCTGGCTGTCAAGGTCAAGTTGATATTGAAACAGATGTGACAGCATGTAATAACAAATTTTAATGCTATGCACAGCAGTTTCACAAAGAAATGAACTGAATCCCTGGCGTGTGGTTATTTGCTTCATTGCTGAGAGTTAGATGAGAAGATTGAAACCGTGTCTGAACAGTAGAAACAAAGCTACTGTGAGCAAACAGCTAGCATGGCAAACTACAGCATAATGTATAAAACTAAGCGGACTCGGTTCAAAGACCAGCACAACTGAAGTTTAAAGTGAACAGGGAGCACGTGAACTGTTCTTTGTTTAATTCTTCAAAGACGGGAACTAAAGCGTTTTCTGCTCCAGACACTTGGAAGAGTTCACATAGGGCTAATGATTCTCTATCTACTTGTCTCTGTTTTAGCACATTCTAGCTTCTTAACATTTGTTTTATGACCCACTCTGTTCATGCCATTGGTGCATATACTGTATCTGTGTTGCATGCTGGATTGTTGCTGCTTTGTCTTGGCCAGATCTCCCTTGCAAAACAAGATTATAACCTCAGTGGATATTTTTTAACTGGTTACATGAAGCTAAAGAAAATCATAGATACAAACTTATAGATTCATCATGAGCTGTCGCTGTTCCCTGCAGGCGCCATGTTGGTGCAGGGGAGCCTGCTAATGTATGTGTGAAGGCAGGAAGTCGATCCATGAACTGTTCTTTGTTTAATTCTTTTCCAGGTTCAAGTCCCGGCCGACCCAGAGTCTGCATGTTCTCCCTGTGCCTGCGTGGGTTCTCTCCGGGTGCTCCGGCTTCCTCTCACAGTCCAAAGACATGCAGCTTAGGTTGACTGGTGACTCTAAATTGCTCGTAGGAGTGTATGTGGGTGTGTACGGTTGTTTCTACATGTCAGCCCTGTGACAGACTGGTGACCTATGGACCCCACCTTTCACCCAGTGTCATTGGGATTGGCTGCAGGCTCCTGTGACCCTGTTCAGGAATAAGAGGTATAGACGATGGATGGACTGACCCCTGCTGCAACATGGCGGCAGCATAACACAACTCACAGTCAGATATACCAAACATTAAAGTGGTGTCAATCTCCTCTGCTGACTCTCAGCAAGAAAACAAGTGTGCCTATTTCTCAGTAGGTGACTGAGATGGACTTCATCTTACTGTACTGAATCCATTTTAACAAAGAGGTTTGTTAAGGTTTTAAACTAAGAGCACATTGATCAGTGTGTAAAACTGGTGCAGAAGGTTCTTTGTTGTGCCATTAAGGCACAGCGGTGCTGTGAGGCACTCCCTTTGTGTGTGTCCTTCAAGTCTTTCAGCGATCAGTCAGTTTAAAAAAATTTTTTTTATCACTTCTCCGCTTCTTTTATCTTCTTCCAACACCAGCTTCCTCTCTGTTGTAGGGGAGAACATCAAAGAATGGAGCCAAGGACTTCCCACTGAGGTTTGTTTAGGTACATGTAATTGGCAAGGAAAAGCAAACGTGTGTTAAAGGTGCATTCCACAGATTTCCAAGTGTCACGCTGCCACGAAACACAGTGTGTGCTTCCTCTCGCTGTGGTAAATCAATGTGTGAGATGGATCTGTGAAGAATCTCAAAGCACTGTGTTGCATCTGTGCTGCAGGGTCCCGGTGGAGCGGAGGAGGTGTTGTGTCCTGACCTGCCCAAGTCCCAGCAGCCCAGAGTCCAGCACAGCTTTGTCCAGGAGCACTTCCAGGCCCAGTACAAGTGAGTTTCCTTTCCTAACACACTGCACTCACACCTGCCAGGAACGAAACCTGCAAATTAGCTATAAATTTGCAGCAGGGCTCACATGACCACGTAAAGCTGTTAGAGGGTGTTGTTTTTTTTTTGTTTTAACCTCGCCCAAACCAAAACACACGAAGATTAAACAGTTGTTCATTCATTCATTCATTCATTTTCTACCGCTTAACCCCTGAGCGGGGTCACGGGTGGGGCCGGAGCCAATCCCGGCCGGCAATCGGGCGAAGGCGGGGTACACCCTGGATAGGTCGCCAATCCATCGCAGGGCTAAACAGTTGTTCTCTCTGCTCAAACACAAGTTGCAGAGGTTAGCATGCCTGCTAACTGGCGCTCCATAATATTTAAAAAAAGCATTTCCACACTGTGGCAGCTGGATGCCGCTACATGGGCTAATGTCATTAGCTTACTTCTGCTCTAACCTTCTTGCATCTGGGGACGTGTACACTCACGTGACCCCAGGCAAACCCAGAGGGCAGACATTGCCTAAACACATTAGTTGGTTGGTACAAGTGTTTATATGCTGAAAAAGACATTTATACTCCAGTCATTTACTCACAGATGTCTACAGTAACTGTCCCTTTTTAGTATTTATTCTGCTGCTTCACTCTTGTCTAATGCACTTCACCTTTTAGGCCAACCCATCTTCTTTCTCATTTAGGTTACAATTTCCATTAAAATCTTGCTTTCTGTTATCATCAGTTAAATGTCCCAGATGTTGGGACAACATTCCTGTGGAAGGGTCCAGGCTCTGCTCAGTGCATCTCCCCAGCCAAGTGTAGCTCCTGATGTAAAACCTCCACACCGTCAGGACCTTTGACCAAATGGACAAACTGTAGAGATTTCAGATTCATCACTAAACTCAGAAATGTATGTGTAATTAATAAACCTTTGTAAGAGCAGTCTCTCCAGACTGAGCTGCTGATATCTAGCTTCTCAGTACCGTACTCCATCTGCCAGTTCCTCTGGAAATTGGCAGCTCTGTGTGACTGCCAGGAATACATCTGTAAGAGCGCATCTCTTAATTACTCCCCTCGCTGTCAAATGCTTCAGCTGTGACACCTTGGTGTGTCTCGATGGGAAGCAGCGGTCCTAGCAGCCTGGCAGGCAGAGCTAGTTCCCCTCACCCACTCAGATAGTGTGTCGGCCATGGAGAGAGGGAGAGGAGCAGCAGAGGGAATGTATACACATGACTGGCCTGACTTAGCACAGTCTTTACAAAGCTGCTCTAGCATATACAGTACGTGTGCAGTCCGAGTCTGTGTTAACAGTGCAAACACTGCAGACCCCATGCGTCACAGCACTGAGAGGTTTTAAGTTGTCGCTGCTGGACTCGAACAAATATTTCTTGACTCCTCTAAAAGGAACCAAGTCCTGAGCCACTTTGCCTTTCAGGGTCTGGTGTGATCATCTAGCGTTGACAGGCCAGAGAATTATCCTAATAATAGCCTGGTTTGTCACTCTGCTATGTCACAGCCGTTATACATGTTCAGACAAGATGAACCACTGTCTGGGCGAACCAGGAGAGACCAGTTTGATCTTAATTTACACATTCTGCAGCTGATCAAAATGATTCAAGCTTCATCTAGTTCCGTATCAAGTGCAGCCCCAGACTCTTGAAATTCATCCTGTCATCCCACATTTATAAATCTTTAGCCCTTTACCCACCTGTCAGTAAATCTTCCATTAGACTTTGCCTGTGTGTGAGTGAGGCGTGGCCTGCGGTTGCTCTGTCAAACACCAGTCATTACGACGAAACCCAGCGTGCTGCAACACCCCGGACTTGTCTGTGAATTAGTGAGACCTTGTTGTTGTGATCATAAGTCCTGATTTGTTAGGATTTGTAGGGCAGGCTGGAGCCGCTGGGACTGTGGCGTTTACAGGCCCAGCCATGGCTCTGCTGTTATGTGTATAATGTGATGTCAGTTAATGAATTTTGAGGTGCTCGTTACATTTTATGCCTTTTCCACTTCAGAGCATATGGTCCCCCAGCAGAGGATAGCTGCCAGGATACGGAGAGGAAGTAGCTGCCGGTCTGTTCCAGTTTAACCAGGGGCTTCCCTCCCCAGTCACCAAGTACCATAGTCATTAGCATGGTGTAGAAATACTACTGGCTCATAAAAAATGTAAACTTTTTCACGTTTTGCCATTTATTTGCTAAATATTACTATAATATTATTTGTTTTATCTCTTAAAATACCACATTCTAGCATGTATTTTCCAAGAATACCATAAAATATTCAGGTAGTAACGTGTGGTTTTTCTCTGTTGTATTTACACTTTGTGTTACAAATATTAGGGTATATTAATATTATTTTATATTTATTATTTATAAATTATATTTATTACAAAGATTCTTAAAAGAAAAACTTTCTCTACCTTAAGACGTCTGTGCACCACATTTTCGTTTTCATGTCTCAGTAGTTTACTGTGTTGCAAATGTAGTTACACAGCGCACGGATCTAGGCAATGCCAAACGTATTCTGCGACTTCTGTAACCTACTGATAACTGCAATGGAATTAAGTATTTTTGAAATAGTGCAGTACAGGCAGAGAGCACTGCATCAGACTTCTTTGCCTCCATGCCAGCACCAGCTGTGGCTGGAGGCGTTATGTTTTGGGGTTGTCCATCTGTCTGCATGTACGCCCTGTTCTTGTGAACATGATATCCCGTGAACACCTTTGAGGGAATTTGGCATGTGTCCACTTGAGTTCAAGGATTAACTGGTTAGAGTGATCGAGGTCACAGTGACCTCTTATCTGTCCCAAACCTGTGACTTTGGCCAGTTGGCAGAAGCATGCAACCACGAGGCTGTGCAGAATACAGTAATGAGTGTTTTAAATAATTTAAAAAATTATTTATGGTTACAAAGATTTTATGGGGCTCTTGCTGAATGTGGGTCCTGAGTCGGCTGCTCCCCCATAAAACCTAATATGGCCTGAGTGTTTCTGTTTTATTGCCTCCCACAGGAACGAAAATCAGATAAAGGTACCTGAGAGTTACTGGGGAAAATCCAAACCTGGAGCAGTGCAAACACCAAGATCAGAGTCTGTTCAGCATGGATGCGTCCCGGTCGGGGGACACATACCTCTCAACCTTTACACGCTTCCTCCATTAGAGCATCACCAGAATATCACCTCTGCCTTGCTCCTTAAGTGTTTCTGAGCAGCGCAGGGCACATCTATGTCTTAGTGGAGGAGTGTGATTGGTATGCACGGGGTGCCGTTACCCTCGCTGTTTCCTGGCGAGAGTGAGACATCCGTAGGGCAGGCATTCTACTCTGCCAAGAGGGAGAGATCCACTGAGAGTCAGTGTCAGCTGGGCTTGCTTGAATAGAGCTTCAGTCACTCCCCCTCTCCTCCCCCTCCTCCCCCAGCGGCTCTGTCAGGTGCCTTTCTACAAGGAAAACACATTTCAGCAGCTCATCCATGGTAGGATGTCGTGTGAAGATCGTTAAGGTTCAACATACTTTGCACAAGTTTGTCGTCAGTTTATGTGCAGCTTTCCGTACTGGTGCAGTAGGAGAATGAAGACTGATGAAACAGTTGTTTTGTGCTGACAAAAGAAAAATCGCACCAAATCAGGGTAATGACAATAGCCATGGACGGATTAGGAGGCACTGGGCTCCTGGGCGCAGACACTCAAAAGGTCCCCCCCCACCCTCCAACAGACAAACAAGATTTCCAGGCTGAGATAGTTTTGTGTCTCTTTGTAGCTGTTTTGCATCTTTATGGTCATTTAGCACCTGTATTTTGTTGCTTTGTGTTTTTGTGGTCATTTTGCTTCTTGTTGTGATCATTTTCCATCTATATTTAGTTATGGTCACTCATTTCGCACCTTTTTGATCATTTTTAGGCCTCTGCACCAGAAATGTTTTCAGGTTCTCCATCCGTCCGTTCGTCCCATTCTTGTGAACACAATATCTGGAATGTTAGAGGGAATTTTGTCTAGCACAAACAATACTTGGTCTCACAGATAAATTGATTACTATTTATAGCTCAGCATCTGAAAGTGCACAGGCACAGATTTGTAAGTGCAGAATCAAATTTGAGGAAGGAAGGAAACATCCCTGCTGCTCACTCACATTATCTGTTACGACTCTGTCCTCCCTCACCCTCAGATCTGCTCCTGCTCTTACAAATCTGCGCCTACACACTCTCAAATGCTGAGTTGCAAACTGAGCTGTGCTCGAAATGTGGTTTGTTTGCCCTCAAATGTTTTGGTGGAGGTTTACTTCCAGATACTTTTGTCTACAAAACTGTTTAGCATTTCCACATGCGCAGTTGATCCTTGCTTATTTCAGACATTGTAGAAGGTTTTGGCTGTTTAGAGCTTTTGGGGCAACATTTTTAACAAATATGCATGTCTGTTGTTTTTGTTAATGAAGAAATGTGTCACCCGGAGCAGCAGTAGTCTTCACTGGTGTGTTTTCAATCGTTGTTAACCATTGGAGGTCTATGGCGCTCACTGGTGTGTTTTCAATCGTTGTTAAACATTGGAGATCTATGGCACCAACGACTAAGCCGATCCAAGTTGGAGACTGACAGATGTTAAGTGTGGCAGTTCAATGTTGGTTTTAGTCTCCGTGTGGGGATTGTTGAAAATACTATAAATGTTGAAAGTGACTGACCTTATCCTTTCACACGTTATGCATTAGGCACTTTGAACTGCCTTTGTGTACAAAATGTGCTGTCTAAATAAACTGACATTGCCTTAAAGTACATCCACTGATGCTCCTACTGTGTTTCATCTAATTAAAGATCCATTCACAGAGTATTGTCCAGTAAATCCTGCAAAGATTAACTCAGATTATTGGACAAATTATTGTCCAATAATTATTATTATTGGATCGCTTACGACATCTGTCTACATGTCTCTGCTCAGCATCCCATAATGGCGTCACATGAGCTTTAGTAACCTGGTGAGAGTGATGCAACAAGATGGAAACTGCCTCTCTGCTGCTTTGCAGAGCCAGTCACCCCAGGGGGCTGCTTCTACTGCTTACCACACCCCCAACCCCAACCGTAGTCTCTCTCATTCTCACCAGTTACATCATTCATCTTTTCCTTTCTTACCGCCACATCAAGGTGCTCAGAGTGCAGTGACGTGTTCACTTTTACTGTGCTGTTCACCTGTGAGACAAGATTAAGCATTTTCTTTGGTGCCAGACTTCATTAGGAGGATTTTGAGATTAGCGCAGCAGGTTTTTTTTCCAAGACTAATGTGACTGTTTCGTTCCCCAGATCTTCGCTGACATGCCCCCACTGTCTGAAACAGAGCAACACCTTTGACCCTTTCCTCTGCATCTCACTCCCCATTCCTCTTCGCCAGACCAGGTGAGCACTGCTGCTTTCACAGACGTGCACCTTCACTTTATTGCTCATTTCATTGTGTTCCATATTTAATTTTCAATTAATAAAATTGTGATTTTAGCCCATCGATCTACACTGTGTCCCATCAGACCAGAGAGTCCTTGTCCTTCAGATGCAGTGAGACATCTCCATCTCTGCAGAGGATGTTTGAAACTCTGTCAGAGGGACTGCTGGGTCCTTGGTCTCCTCCCTGACCAGCCAGCAGAATGTTAGCTTAGCATAAAGACTGGACTCAGGGAGAAAGAGCCTGGCTCTGTCCTCTAAAGTTCACTAATTGACACGTTATATCTTTTTAATTTAATAAATGCAGTCAAGCAGCAGTAATCTCAGAGCTGCACTGAGCTAAACTACTGGCTCCTGCTCTACCTTCACTTTTACTGATAGCTGGACAACACCCAGCTTTGTTCATGCACTACATACGGTAGGAACACCAGTGACTGTGGAGCTGGAGGGCTGTATCACAAAGGAAACGCTGGTGGAAAACCCTTTCAGCATCAAGGAACAATGTCTTATTCAACTTTACATCCCAACAGCCACTCAGCCTCCACGTCAGGTCACTGGGCGTCAGGAAATCCTGACATTTTCAGGGAGGGAGACCCCATTCACGTCTCAGTTTGTTTGAAATCGAGACTCCCACATAAACAAGCACAAACACATGTAAGCTTTGGGCTCTGGCTTTGACTGAAATACGCACCACATGCTTACAGTTGGTCTTCACTCTTTTGGAAGCTAAATCAGATGTTTACTTCCCCACAGTTCACCTCCTCCCCTGCTCTGCTCTGAGTGGAGATACCACAGATGAGCTGTAAGGTCAGACATTAGCATCTGTTTTAAAGTCAGGGTTCTGCTGTTTGTTTTATGCAGCACGGTGTATTTGGGCATTTTGCAGCCTGGGTCTGACCTCTCAGGTTGGGTATAAATAGAGGTGACTGACTCTAAACCACAACTCGATTCTGATCGTGTGTTCACTTTATTGTGGAAAAACACCTCAACATTGTTGTGTATGTGTTACTCAGCGCAGGCTCTGTTGTTGGCCAGTCATCGTTGGCCACTACTGGAACCGACATGAAGCTATTTATCCTACTAGTTCATCCTGTACGCGTTGAATCTCAGGTCACAGTACGCAGCCAATGTTTCTGAATTTCCCAAAGTGCGATAACATGTGATCCTCGTATCAAAATCTGATAAAGACAGACAACTTATTGAGTCAGCAAAGTATCAGCACCCACTGCTGCTACCAAGGTTGGTTAGGAAACACAATTTGAGCCTCTAAATCATAGTGAGCTACTGCTAGCAGCATTAGCTAAGAACAGTGTCCCTGGGAATTTCTACTTGTGTTTCAGTGCCGACCAGCGCAGAACACACAGCACAGGACTCTCATTTTCCCACTATAATGGGAACAGGCTTTAACAGTGACCATCTGTCAGTCCAAGCATCTTACAGCTATGAACTGTGATGCATAGAGAAGCAGATGAGATCAATACCACTGTGACAGCTGTGACATCTAGGAAACAGTTTTTAGGAGCTTCATTCTGACAGAATGCCAGGTGCACAGTATTTAGCTGCCGTCTTTTCTTCATGCGGCAGAGAAGGTGAGAGAAAACACTTCTGAAGGGACAAATAGATGAACTGTGTTTTAAGGCATTTTCTATATATTTCTCTGTGTGAGGAGATCAGCTCAGCTCACAGCCAGATCATGTCTGTAAGTCATAAACACACACTGTTTGTTACCAGTCCAACGTTTGCTGTGCCTGGCAGTCCAAACACTGGGCTCTGCACCTTGGCGGTCATGTGCTCTCTGCATGTTGGTTTGTTGACGTCCTGTGGTGGCTCCTCTGTGAGTGTGACATGGACTTGTTGTCTGTGAATATTCTGTCAGTGACTGCAGCCATTGATCAGTTAAATGTGAATATCTATAGGAAAAGCATTGGTATTTGCAGGAATCATTGTTAGAAATCATTCTAACTAAATATTGTTTCGCAGTGTGGGAGCCACTTTATACCCTTGAGCCCCTTGTTTTTTTATTTATTATCAGAAGCTTTTCTTTGTCATATTTTTCACCTTTGAAAGTTTGTTGAACAAACGTGGACAAGACTCGTGCATTGATGTTATCAACAGCATGACAATATATAGTGTTGAAAATATGCTGTCAAAGTACTTGTACTTCTGCACTTTAAGTATATTTTAAAGCATGTAGTACTTAATACTCCAACTTGATTAAAGAATTTGAAGTGGTGCTTCTACTTTGTCAGCACTGTTTTATGAACATATTTGCTATTTTACTTCAGTATTGAGTCTGTGTGCTTCTCCGACCTCTGGTACTCCAAGTATCTTTGAATGCTAATACTTTTGTACTTAAGTAACTTTTTGAAACATTTTGAAAGTTACTTGTACATGTAACAGTGTATTTCTGCAAATTGGTATTTACTGTATACTTTTACTTACATAAATAAAGCCGAATATAGTCAGGAGTGCACGTCATTCTCAGGTTACGCTGTGAAAAACTGCACTGTGGACGCAGCACTGTACAGAGTGGATGGAGGCAGCGCTGGGTCACGTGCAGTGTGACAGCGGATGTCTTTCTGGGATAGAAATACTCTGGCTCTTATTATAAATTCTCTGGCCATGTCTTCCTGTGCCGCTAGCTACAGGCCACAGGTACCTGATAGTGTATCTGCCCAGCGCTGCCTCAGAAGAAGTCAGAGCCAGGCTCTCCCTGTTTTTAAAAATGCTACAGCATTATTTTGCACACATAAAACTGAGTCCTAATGTTCTATTATTAATGTTAAAATGTATTGATTTATTCATGAAAGTCTTCTTTTGTCCCTTCTTGGCCGTAGAGGAGACTGCAGGATAAATGGCACAGAAATCACAGTAGAGTTCATTGCATTTCTCACTGTCGCTAATTGTGTTTTCATCTGTTGCAGGCCACTGTGTGTGACTCTGGTGTTCAGCACCAAAGGACAGAGGTACCTGAGGGTCGGGCTGGCTGTGCCTCTGTTCGGCTCTGTGGCCTGCCTGAGGAGGATGGTGGCCGACGAGGGGAAGCTTTCTCCAGACCAGGTAACGGCAACAGGGAGAGGTACACATGACCAGATGTACAAAGAAAGTGGAGATGTGCAAATGCGCGCTGCTGTTTTTATTGTGTTTGCGTATTCAGTGTGAGAGTGAAGGAGAGGGAGGATCTCTTTACAACCACTGAACTCAGAAAAGAAATCACATCACAGTGATTTGATTAGAAAATATTTACTCTGGTTCAACTGCACGTCTAGAAAAACCATTACTACTACTCAGAATATTACTTATAAAATTAATAGCAGGTGAAGTATAAGGCAAATCAACGGCTTGCACAGCAGCGGCACAGACGGAGCAGGTGGAGTTGGAGGTGGTGTTGATACGGAGGCAAATACAACCAAACGTAACCATTCTGTTGGAAAGTCAGTCAGATGACCACAAAACCTCTGTAAAAAGCCACAGAATGAGAAAAAATAGATACAAAGCAGCTACAAAATCTCTAAAAGAGACAGGAAATGCCCCAAACACAGCAAAGTAGCTACAAAAATATGCCAGGTGACCAAAGTGACGCACACTGGCAACAAACCACGTGGCTGCTCAGTCTTGAGAGTGTAGGAGAGGTGGAGGCCTTTTGCACATCTGGCCCCAGGGGCCCTTTGACTAATAGTCTGTCCTTGCCTGCACCTGAGCACGTCCGGGCCTCACGTGGACCCATTCCTGTTGAATGCTCCTGTGTGAAACCGTAAACGGTGACAGAGCAGCTCAGCTCCCTCCGGCTGGCACATGAGTGTGATTATCATAGTTTGTGTCTTATTCTGACCTTTCTCTGCACACTGCTGGCCTGGGTTTACCGCCTCCTCCCTCTAAAATACATTAAGCCTTTTGTGAGTTTGGTGGGAGTAGTAATGCGGTGGCTGGTGGTTCAGAGTTTGCTCTCACAGCATAAGATTTCTAATGGCACTGTAACAAAGAAGCGGCTGGTGTGTCTGTCTCCAGGTGATCCTGACAGAGGTGTACTCCACGGGCTTTCAGCGCTCCTTCTTTGATGAGGACGATCTAACCAGCATAGCTGAGAATGATGTGATCTACGCCTTCCAGGCCCCTCCACTCTACATCCGAGGAGGCTCTGCACGCATCTCAGGTAACAGGACTGAAGCTGGACAATAAACAGGGAGTTTTTAGTCACATTCTTTATAACTACTGTGTGGTAACCATTAACAGTTTCCTGCATTAATGTGGATGTACACCCAGATGTGTAAGCAATCAGTCCAGTTGTTAATTTACTGCTGCATGCGGAGGATTCATTGACAGCATTTAAGTGACGTCACTTCACATAATGTGGATTACAGCCACCCTGTGCAGGTGTGCAGGAGATAATTTTCCAGTCGGCGTCATTAAACCACTACAGAAAACGACGACGCAACAAGAAAAGAAAAGAGCCGCTGTGGAAAATGATAGAAAGCCTGATGGGGATGTGAGGTTAGATGACAAAGTTCACAGGTTACATTGTGTTTTTCAGCTCTTCACTGACGTTTCAGTCACACGGTTCATCCTGGTCATGATTCGTCCAATAAGTCTGTTTCCACTGCAGTTTGTTGGATTTTATTTTTATTGATACACAAAACTGTCAGACTTTTTTGCAAGATTTCATTGAATTCCCAGTGTTTCCACTGATGGATGGAAGCCATGTCTTCATTCCATCTGTTTCTCAGCCATAAAAAACAAACTGTGTGCTCAGATGTACGTCAGCGATTAGTGTCCCCTTGTTTCTCGTGTTCTGCTGTAAACAAACAGGTTCCAACAGGGCTGAACATCCCAGATCTGTTTCAGTGCCACTGGTCTCCCTGACAAATGTGACTTTTAAGTGCTTTAATTTGTGTCGCACAGTGACGACTCGGAGCACTGCTGTCTGAAGGAGCACACCCCCCTGACAGCCTGGCACAGGCTAAATCCTCCTGGGTTCTCACTGGCTCTACTGTTGATATGGAGACTCTGCATCTGCACTCCACACATTTCTGTGCACATCAGATTGTCCTGTCATTCATGTTGATATATTCACCCTGTGAGAATGCATGGAAGATGCTGCCATCATCTTTAGGAAACAGGCTGGTTTGCTGTAATGCAAAAACATTACCCCTCCTCTCCCCCACTTCCATTATGCTTTCTCCTTGGGTAACTTTTTAGAGGCAGAAAATTGAGTAAACCTGGTGTGACGGGCACCAAAAGGGCAACGTTAGCTGTAGAACCTCTTAAATTACTCACACACATAAATTAGAAAATAAAGTAATTTATGTTTATTTTGCTCAGTAAAAATCAAGCACAACTGCAGCCGCATAAATATTTTTTGCCTTGCTGTTTGTGATTAACAAAGCCATAAAATCAGTAATAGCAGGTGAGTAAATAGCACCATAATAATACACAAAAAGCATAAAATCAAGCACAACAATGTGCGGGGCTTTTAGACTGTCTGGCGCCATAGAAATGTGATCTTTATGCTCCTTCTGCAATTACTAAGTCTGAAGGGTCTGATCCCTGAGAGACTCTTAGTCCATTGTCCATAAATACTCAAATGAAAGTGAAAATCTCAGTCTTGTGATTTAGATATGAGATGGAACAACAAACTCACCAGGGGTCTCGTTAAAACTAAGAGTAGTGATCTAAGCGTTTTACGAGGTGGTAATGTTACGTGTGGAGTGCAGCGGAGGAGCTAAAACATCTTGTGGGCAATTAAAGCACAGAAATGTGTGTGAAATTTGGAGGAAACCTGTTTGATAGCTGTTTTTGGTCAATTTCCTCGTTACAACACAATTTGGATTGAATTCATTTTGCTGCTCCAAACGTCCTGACGTGAAAAGCTGCCGGAGACGACGTGAGCCGCCCTTCACTCATAGTGGAACTGCAGAGGCTTTTGTAACATAGCTTTGACCAAATATCACACTGTAGGGTTGCACTCAGTGAAAAGTAATGCTTATTTAGTTTATTTTGTTTTTTGTAGGTAAATAAAGTGGTTTCTTACCACTAGTGTGACCTTATTCTGTGATCATTTGTTAATCCACTGGTCCATCCACGGGCAGAGGAGAATGCAATTAGGTAACTGAGGTTTACATTAAAATTGTGTAAAATAGAAAAACGTTCTTCACAATTTGAGAGAGATCTGTTCTGTTTGGGAGTGGGAGTGTTTGTGCCAAGGATGAGATGTCACCTGCCAAAGAATATTTGGAAACAGATCACTGGTTTCCACAGTGAAGTATCCATTTCATATTCCTTTATCTCTGTTACAGAGAACAGGTTCATCCTCCTGTTTATTTATCAGTAAAATTAGGTCATTTTGCAGTTTGGGTTTTTTGTCAGGTTAAGTGACTTGTGTGCTCGTTGCACTCTATACATTCCTGCCATGAATTTCATCCGTTGCTGTTACAACTTGCACCGTTCTGCTGGTTCTTTTCTCTGTTGCTATCATGTTTGCAAAGTAGATTTATGGGTGTGAGACAAACTGTGAACTAAACATGCAGCTCTTTATTGCTTAGCCGCTTCCCAGAACACACTGGCTGCCTCCTGCCACATTCCACAATGCCCGACATATCCCAGCCTGGTTTCCTATTGGTTTACGATACATACATTTTATACAAAGATTCCCCCCCAGTCTGATAACCCCAGTGACAGTGGGACGTGGTGTCTCCCAGCTACACCCCCCCTCCATGACCCTCTGCTGCCTACAGCCTCCTGTTGTTATTCCAGCTTCTCCACCCTGCGTTGTCAAAGTACGGTCTGTAAATCAGCCCCGCCTGCTGCCTAGCCAAGGTTAGCAGAAAGGTTTTTCCAGCCAGTAGTCATGTCAAACAACCATGGAGGAGCTCTGGGCAACTAAAAGCCTGAACCAGTGCTCATTTCCACATCCAGAATTTGTGGATGAATCTCGGTCTAGTATTCCCCCCTCTTTTAATTCTGGTTTTGGTCTCCTCCACCTCCCAAGGGAAGTTTCACCAGCTCATCTCTAACTCCAGAGGACTCAGACTGGATCCAGATGTGGCCTTCTTCCTTCTGGATGTGTTAGCATCTAAAGCTAACCTGTTTGTTTTGGTAGCATTAGCCACCTAGCATGGTCAGGATTTTACCTTTGTGTTGAATTAATGTGATTTTAATTAGGGAGGAACTGGAGCTTTGTGTAACATCAGCAGTAGCCAGAGCTTCTACTGGACTGATGTGTTTACTGTTAGCCAGCTAACGCTAGCTTTAGACTGGAGGCTGCAGTTTGTACAGTTTGTCCCAACCAGGCATCTGTAGTTTTTATTGGCGACAGGACGAGATGGGAGGGGCAGAGAGCGGTTAGGAGCTGTTTATGGTGTCAGTTTGTTCTGAGTCTCTGGGCTGAGAAGACATTAGGTAGAGGAGCTTTACAGGACACCATCATGTGTCCTATGTTTTGTAGTTCAGTGGTGAAAAAAATCTGGAAACTCAACCTGACAGTGCAGATTGAAACATGTTATTATGTAATGTTTAAAATCCTAATATGTTTGTGCGATAACATGTAGATGTGTGTGTCCAACCACCCTTTTGTGACCTTGAACATGGTAGTGCAGACAGATGATGGGACTTCCAGCTGTGGCTGTGGGTAGAGTAGATCCCTTTAGAGGCAGAGGTGTTTAATTATGGGCTTTCACATAGTCTGGCTCTGTTTAGACTGATTTATCCTGTCTGTTTAACAATGAGAGACGCCTGAGAGAGCAGAGCAGCGATGAGTTCACAGGCCTCCTGTGGAATTAGGCTGAGGGCTTTTGATGATAAGAGATTAGGATCAACAGGAATGTGGAGAGGAGAAAGTTAACTTCTGGTGTGTGTGGCCTTTTTTTCAGGATAGCTGTGGGAAGTGTTCAGCAGTGTTAACACAAATACACATGTGAAAACCCACACCTCATACTTTCACCATTATTCATCCTGTAAACAAGGTGCTGTAAATAAAACCAGGAGAGCAGCGTCAGGATCCTTGAGGAAGCCTCTAGAAACAGTGCAGTTTATGAGAGCTGGTCATAAGCCTGATTCAATGAGCAACCAGAGGTTGGTCTCCTCCTCAGCATCCCTGGATAGATCGTGGCACAGGCCAGGAGGTGGCCTCAGCATTTTACTGCTGTTTCATGAACATGTTTCACTGGGCATTGAAAAAGAGATTTTCCCTCATAAATCATTCCCACATCTGTCAGTTGGTGCGGCTCATGTAAATTACAGTGCATGATTTAAGCAAGTTTAATCACTGCTTTGATTGGAGTAACATTAATAAATGAAAACCTGTGCATACTTATCATTATGCTCGTTCTCGGGGTCAAGACATTGCAATCAGTGGTTTAATGTTAAAGCATTGATGGTGTATGTGTAGACTTTGATTAGCTTAGAACAGGTCTTGCCCTTCATGTAGTGCACAGCTTAATGTCCTCACAAGCCAGTTATTTCTAAAAGAGGAGGGATGTGCTGATGCAGAGTGCTGCTTCTTTTCAAGGATCCCTCTCAGTGGCGTCATTAGAGCTTAGGGCCGAGTATTTTTGGAAGAACTTTGGTGTGGCAAAGACAAAAGAGAAAAAGAATCTGAAATTGAAGACAGCCTGGGGGAGGAGTGTTTCTAACCTCAGAATGGCTTCTCTTCTTTTTGCAGGTGATGGTTCTGTTGGCTTCAAACCATGAACCCTATGGTCATGAGCTGTGGCCGATATGAGCTTCCTTTGTAGGGCGGTTGGTCTCAGACTTAGAGATGGGGTGTGCAGTTCAGACATCTGCAGGAAGCTCGGAGTAGAGCCACTTTGCGTCAAAAGGAGCCCGCTGAGGTTCAGGTACCTGATTAGGATGCATCCTGGGCACCTCCCAGTGGAGGTTTTCTGAGGACGTCCAATGGGTAGGAGGCCCCAAAATAAACCCAAAATTCACTGGAGAAACTACACATCTCATCTAGCCTGGCAACATCTCAGGGTCCTCCAGGAGGAGCTGGAAAATGTTGCTCAGGAGAGGAACGTCTGGACCGTCTGGTGAACCTGCTGCCCCCACACCCTGACCCCCAATAAGCAGTTGATAACAGATGGATGGATTTGTGTAGATGAGCACATGAGTGTTGATTATAGAGAAGTGGTGCTGCTTGGCGCCGCAACAGGACGTGGTGCAGAAGCTGCATCAGATAATGCCTCTTGAGAGAGCAGGCGGCCAGTGGGCCATCTGTTCTCCCTTCTGAATCACTGTTCCCCAAATAGAAAGCTGCTGTCTCGTCACTTCACATCCCTCAGTTCTCCTCCTCACTTCTTGTTGGAGGTGTTAAGTTTAATGATCACATTTTCAGTACACGAAATTTTCCTTTGAAGGTGAAAATATCATGCACGTCGTGCTGTCAGCTATAAATGTAAAATAAGCTGCTGGTGAAGTTGCTATTCTGATCAGAATCAGCCAGATTTAACAACAAACCGTGACTACTATAGTAAGAAATAACTCTTCCTTTGACTCGTTTTAGTGTCATTCACCCCATTGCTGCCCTGTCTCCTGTCTGATGTTCTACTGTGTCCTCCTTCTTCTTCTGCCAGGGTGCCATCACAGCCTGCCTTCGTCTCCATACTTCACCGGGCCTGAAGGTCAGAGGTTACCTTCATCTGGAACATTGTCATCAGAGTTCCTCAACCAGGGCCCAGTCAAGATTCTGCTGCTGGTGTGCAACGCTGCAGGGGCAGGCCAACAGACTGTCAGGTAAATAACATCAACAACCCTTCACTAAACAGCAGCTGTCTATAACTACTGTAGCCACAGAAGCTCCATCAGGCTTTGGGTTTTTTCGCGTGCTGACGCAACGAGCAGAGGGCTCTAAAAAGGCTACTCTGGTACAGCAAGAGTTTTTTTTATGGTTTCCTAAACCAATAACAAACGAGCAAAGTTGTGAGTAATGGATTAAACAGAGTTTATCTGCTTTAACATAAGCTACAGATGTTAGCATGTCTGGCTAGCTAACTTACTACCTACAGTACTTTAACTTTAACTTGACTTTCCTCAAAAGGAAACCTACCTCACAGTAAAATATAGAACACGGGAAAACAGTGGTGACATAGCATTGTGTCCAGTTCAGGTGCTAACTTTATTAAGTTATTAAGTTTATGTTAGAAAATACCTTAAATATTTTATGTTATAAAATAATGTACCTCTGGACGTAGGAACACAGCTTAACCTCTCACTGTAAGGTGGCACATGTGAAAACTACAAAACTTCAACCACTGCTTGAGGTGTTTGGGTGAGCAGAGTTCCCTGCAGACCTCCCTCTTTCCTGTTGTTAATTCAGGACAAGAGCCCAAATCCTCCCAAACCAATATCAGTCTGCAGTTATAGGCAGCTCCCTCCTTAAACCTGCAGATGCTACTCTACTGAGAAAGTTTTAGAAGCCAGTATACTTAGGCTCTTTGAGGAAGTGTTGAGTTTGGTCTGAACCATCCCATAAAAGCTGTGACACTGGCCACGTGTGACCATGACTTTAGTGCCTAGTGTTTAGTTGACCTCCTCAGACACCCAGTTTACAGTATGCAGGATGGAATCAGGAGATAAAGGTCTGCTGGTTCCTCTGCCATCATCCAGGCATGAAAGGGAAATACAAACTTACCATCAGCTCCTCTGTGCACTCCTTTTCCTGCACTGAGATACTTTCTGCCATTGGTGCATTTTCCTGTGGATCAAGCGACACTTTCACATCTTCTTTGTAGCCTGTTTGTTGTTTCCTCAGGCTCTGCATCCTAAAATAGTGGGCATTCCACTATCTCCTGAAAGTACTCTTGTTGCTCCTGTGCGACTTCTGTTTGATATCTCTGTTGCCCCCATTCACAAGAATTACTCTGCAGTAAAGTTAGAGCCTGCTTCCTGTATTCTTTGCTAAGACTGATCTTATCAATGGCTGTAACTGCCTCTGAGATGACGGTCCAAAGAAATATCCAGTCAGCTGTTTGATTAGCTCAGTGATGCTGCCAATCACACAAACGTTCGTCCAATCACTGACTATTGATTGATAGGTCAACCCTGGTGCCAGCTTACGTTTCATTTTGAGATCAAGTCACCTCTTCATTATTTTTCAGCGCATATAACTCACTGTTGTCGGGGGTGACTGTGGTTCAGTGGGTAGAGCAGTCGTCTCCCAACTGGAGGGAGGTTCAAATCTCGGTGCCTGCAGTCCACATGTTGAAGTGTCCTTGGGCAAGACACTGAACCCCCAAGTTGCCCGCGATGGTTAGAGCCATTGGTGTGAGTTGGCGCTGCAGATGGCTGCCTCGGTTCTGTACCGAAAACAAATCCCTTGTGTGTAACATACTTGGCCAGATAAAGGTGATTATTATTATTGTTTTACATTAATTCTGATACATCGCCATTTTACATTAATGCTTCTTAGGCGCTCCACAGAAACACTTAGGTGCAGCACCGTAACCTTTCTATGGTAGGAAAAAGCCTGCTTAAATACATGGACTATGAAGTGAAAATTCATTTATAAATCTGTGACCCTCTTTCTAACCTGTCTTCTAAAAGCCCCTGTCTTCTGTTCCCGTTCAACCTGACTAGATCATTTCTCACTGAGGTTCTGTTGGTTTACACTACAAACAGCCTTTTAGAAGATGCCAGCTCTGTTCAGTCCATTTTTATTTCTAACACTTCTCTGGTGCAGCACATCAAGGTCATGTTCGGCCGTCCAACAGAAAGGACTCACATCTCACTGTGAGGTGAGTCTCAACTCAAATGACTGAGAACCCTGACAATTGGCACGATACAGAGTCCACAAACATCAGTACAGGTGAGCTCTCCAAAGCAGCTGTGATGACGTCCAGTCCATCCACGATGGTCAGCATCTTGGTCTGAAATGCCTCTCTATCACTGATCCAACCACCCCCCTCTCTGGCTCTCCCCAGTATCGGTGAGAGTCGTTCGGGGGTGGGAGTTTGGCACTGGCCAAAGTGGCTGTGACCTTCATCCACAGTTCTTCCGCCTTTGTCTCGGCCAGTGTTACAGCCCTTGGCGTCAGTAATAAGCAGAGAGTCTCTACAGGTGCGGTGTGTTTATTTGCAGTCAGCAATGACCAGCTTCGAGCACCGTGAAAACTGAAATACAGAATAAACTTATAAAAACACAAGTTTTGCTGCTTTAACATATGTAAAAATGTGACGAACAATTACGAGAGATACGACACTTTACAGTCAGTGCATTTCTACAACCTTATACAAAGTAAGAACAACATATTTCACAAACCTCGCTGCGCTCACCAAGGCTGCAATAAAACCTGGATACCTTAGTTGCGTCTTCGGCCTGAAGCACTACTAGCTTGCGTGTTTCCTGAGATAAAGGATAGAACCAAAACGGCGTGAACGTGTAGCGAGAAAAGTTACCAGAGAACAATGTAAGTATTTACATTAACAATAAGCATCAAACCAATAAACAATCCCCAGTATGAACAATGTTATGGTTTGCTTACATGCTCTACGGAGGTCATGAGGCGAGTGAAATGAAACCGGGAAAATTTAACAATACAACGCTTCCTCATTCACGTTCCAGGGCAAACCTCTTCAGCGCCCTTATGCTGAGTTGATGATAATAAATCTGAGAGCGGCTTTACGGTCATTTACAGCCAGCTTGTTGTTCCTAGTGGCTGTCTCTGTGGCTGTGATGAAGTCTACCACAGGGATTTGTTTGGGTGTGACCGCAAAATTCAGCCCCTTGTCTAATACCTCTTTTTCTGTGTCCGTGAGTTCTCTGTCCGAGAGATTTTTGACCCATTTGTGATTGTGCAATGGTTGTGGATTATGCTCCTCCTTTCTCCTCCAACCGAGGACATCTGAGGCTGGCTGTCCATTCCACTCTGGAATTTAACCATTTGCTTGAGTTAAAATTATTAAATTATTACAATTCTAAATACACATTAGTGCAAGTAATATGAGTCTAAAAACATTTATTCATCTTCTATACCGCTCAGTCCCAAATGGGGTTGTGGGAGCCAATCCCAGCCAGCAATTGGGCAAAGGCAGGGTACAGTACACCCTGGACAGGCCACCAGTCCATCGCAGGGCCGACATACAACCACTCACACTTCTACAGGCTATTTAGAGCCACCAGTCAACCTAAGGCGCATGTTTTCGGACAGTGGGAGGAAGCCGGAGTACCCGGAGAGAACATGCAAACTCTGCACAGGAAGGTCGTGAACCTGCAGACTTCTTACTGTGAGGCAACAGCGCTAACCACCGCGCCACTATGCTACCCCTGATGAACATGATTTGTAAAATAATAGTAAAACACCAACGGGGTCATGTTTCTACTTTTAAGGAGTGCTTTTACTTTTGATACATTTTAATACTTATACTTTTACTCATATAAAATTGTGAATACAGGACAGAGTATTTCTACACTGTGGCATTGTTACATTTCCTTAGGTAAAAGATCTGAGTACGTGTAGCACCACTACTGTGTACTCAGAAGTAAATCCCATCCAAAAGTCTCTTTTAGAAGGATTTTTGAATTTAGCACACTAATTCCATTTGGCACAAAGTAATGGGATTGTTTGTCTTTTACAATTAAAGGAAATTTTGAGTTCTTTCCCATTTAGTCGTGTATATTGTCTGTTCTCATGTCGCGGTTGCTCGGCCACCAGAGAATGCTAATGGTTACCACCCTGAGCAGTAGTGCACCCTCATTTATTCTGAGGATTTCAGTGGTATCAACGTGTGATCTAATGAGAAATTAGGATCTGTTTTACTTCAAATCTGCAAAAATATATATAAAAAAAAAGGAAAAAATGTTACTTTCTGCTCATTACTCTTTCTACTACTGAACGTACAGTTTTTAATAGTACTCTACCCCATCATGTTTCCCTGTACCACAGAGCTTACAGTGGGTGGCTGCCCTCTTTGAATGTCATAATAAATGTGTAATGTGACCCATCACCTCAGACGGATCACCTCCCTCTGTCCTCCCATAGACAGGCTGTAATGAGAATTCTCCTCTATTGCTGATGGTGTTAAATCATTATTTACATTGCAATAGGATGAGCAGATGTGCGGGTCAGTGGAGTAGAGTGGAGTTGTTGTGCATGTTTTTGCCCCATACAACAATCCCCTCTGTGCCCTATTAAGGTTTGGACCTCCGTTCCTAATGAGGGAGGACCGGTCTATTTCCTGGGACCAGCTGCAGCAGAGCATCCTCAGCAAGCTCTATTACCTGATGATCAATGGAGCTCCAGCACAGGTACTGGACTTTCACTAATATTAACATGAAATTGTGTTTTTTCTTTGCCTCCCTTCAGGAGAATTTTAAAACACGGTGCCAGGAGCTCTCCACCGTTCACATACAGACTTTAGCACAGCAGATGCCTGCCAGTTGGCAATGCTCCATTCACACTGTGTCAAGAGAAAAAGTGTCATTTGAAACTTTAAGGTGCTTTTTCCACATTGTCTGATAAGTCAAGGGACAGTACGTGGTGTCTCTCAGCTGTACTCCCCTCCCCCCAATGACCCTCTGCTGCCTCCAGCCCTTCTGTTGTTATTCTAGCTTCTCTACCCTTTGTTGTCAAAGTATGGTCTGTAAATTAGCCCATAAAATGAAAAAATCGGATTCCTCAGTGGCGCCAGTGGACGTCTTGCCCAGGGCACCAAAATGTCCTGAGACGACCCTGGAAGTATGTTCATTATTTATTTTATTGTATATGGCTGGACTGAAGTACAGCCCTGCACGATGAGTGAACAGAAATGGCTCCACGATGCTTGTAAAACTTAAATTTAATAACCTTGCAGTGTGGGCGGCAGATCTGAGCACTGGCTGGAGGCAGAGACGGACATGACTCCCTCCCTAGCGCACCTGTTCCGAGGCAGGTTTATTGGCTCAGGGCGGCACAAAGCATGCCTACACAATAACACTGTGCAGCCCAGGTGGGAAAGCTCCACATGCCGGCTGGAGGCCAGGAGGAACTGGTTTCCTCTCGCTACACAGCCAGGTTAACAGGCTTGGGTCAGGCTATGGGGCAGTGTAGGGATGCCACAGTCAAAGGGAGACGTGGCTGCTCTCTCCTTCACTCAGGCTGTTACCTTCCTGTTTTGTGTGACTTGTGGACAGAGTGGTGTTTGGAGAGCCCACTTTCCACACAGTGAGTGAAAGGTTTGTCAGAACCCAAAACAAAGGCAAAGATCCTGCAGTGTCCTTCACTCGCTTCGTTAGCAACTGAATGGTCGTGGTGAAAAAATGTAATGAGGCTATTTCTACACTGAACTGGTCAGGAAGGTCAGGAATAAAGAAAACATTACCATTTTACAAACAAACCTCATTCTGTGATTCTGGAAAGCCTCGGTAAAGCTGCATGGCTAATCTTCATTCTAAATACTGATTTAAAGCAGTAATTTGACAGGTTTGAAAATATGCTTAACTACTTTTATGCAGATGGGAACAATGATTTTGTATAGTTTCTGAGAAACACACAAAATGCTAACGTCTTAAACCTCCCAGTAAAATAGAATCGGTCCTGTTTTCATATCTTTAGGCACCATCATGATTTCACAGTTCTGCATTACAATACTGTGCACATGTCTTAGGCCACCGTTAGTTTAGCTGTTTCAGCAGGTTGTAATGATTTAGGTGTATTTCTCAGTCCCTTTATTAAGATATAACCAGAAAATGCAGGAAACGTAGGAAACTGGCACAGTATTCAAAACCAAAGTGGTTCCTCCTGCCCAAAGCCAGAGTTTAGTGTGACCTCCGTCTGCAGCGTGAGTTCTTCTGGGGAGACGGTCTTGAAGTCCAGAAGCCACAACAGAGCCTCCACCATGTGTCACTGAAGGCCGCTACACTCGTTCTCCCACCTCTCTCCAGCTCTTTTTCTCACATGTCGACGACTGGACCCGAACATTTCAGACTTCCACTCCTCGCTCCTTCGTCCTCGTTTTCACTGACCTTCGCTCTGGTCTCTGGGCGTCTGCATGTCTCAGCCCTCTCTCCCTGTCCCCCTCTGAAGAAGTGGTCTCTTGACTGCCGTCCCTCCACCAAGGCCGTTCCTGGTGTCTTCATGCTATGGAAGGACCAACTTGCCGTCCAGATGATGCTGCCTGATGCTGAGCCAGGTCCCTTCCGCTGGTCTCTCAGAGAAGAAACTCTGAGAACCTCCTCAGTCTCAGCCCTCTCTCCCTGTCCCCTTCGGTGTGTGCTTTTCATTTATATACTGTGAAACAGTCTCTGGAAAAATTATTCGTAAATTACAGGTACCGGATGTACATATTCTGGTTATTTAATTTAATGTCATTTCTGGGGTCTCTCTAATTGGTGTTTTAAAGGTGAGAACCATACTGAACCCTAGACAAAGTTGTTATACATTGGAATGTCCCTTTGCCAATTTGTGTTATTTGAGCTTGAAGGGGTTATATACTAACTAGTCACTCCCTTACTACAACGAGCCAGGTGGCAAAAGGGTTACAGATGCAATTCACAACACAAAAAACATGGCCTGGTTGGTAGCCATGTCTCCTGCTACTGACACTTATTCACAAGTTAATTACAACAGTAACTGGCTCAATAGCCACATGCTACGCTACAGCTCACTGATGGCTGCATGCTCATCTGTTCTTACTCGCAGTTCCATCCTCTGAAATGATCCTACACCTCTGTGAAACCGTCTGAGCACAAACTGAACATCATCACCTTGATGAAGGAGGATTTACTGCAGGACTGTTGGATTGGACCGGCTTAGTCTGAGACAGGTGTTCCTAATAAACTGGAACAGGGTGTATATTAATAGTTCGAGGAGCATCCACACATATGTAGCTTGGGTTCTGGTGCAAACTCGGAATAATATCACATTTTTCTCAAACTATTGGGATTTTACATTAGATGTAGTCTGATCAGTGTGCAGCTATTTGGGACACCAGGGAATCAAATATAATAAGTGTGGTAACTAACACACAGTGAGAGTTTTGGCCCTGAACTTGACTTACACTGACAAATGTAAATCCAATCTGCGCACACACACACACAAGATGCTAAAACTTTAAGTGTGATGCAACACTGTGCTCTTTGCATGAGTAACTGGAGATCTTTGTTTTGACACAAACAGTGTTGCAGACATTCCCCACCTCACTCCACCCTCACTGACCACAAAACTGATCAACTTTGGTCTAAAACAAGGAAATATCACAAACTTTCTGACCCTGTACCAGTGCCTGTGGAGCCCTGATGCCCATGCACTCCTCCAACAGGATGCTGAGATACATTTTCACAGGTTTTCTCTTCCTCCTCTCAGGAGTCACACTGACAGAGCTGCTCAGATGCTCATTTTTCTTTGCACCCACACAATGATGTGTTTACACCCCCTGTTTCTGCTGGTAGGCTATGCTCTCACATATCCCTCTTCATCTGCCTCTACACACATACATTCAGACATATACACACGGCACAACATTTCACAGTGCATTGTTCAAGCCAGGCAGCAGCTATCACAGCTGGAGGCTGAAGCCAGTGTGGAAGTGTCTTAAAGTGTAGTACCACCGACGGCCACTAGGTGCTGGCTCCAGTTGACTCCCATTCAAACAGCCTCAGATTCAGACCTAATAAGTGCACAGGTGGTAATGCTGGGAGTTAGTGCTGCATTAATAAGATTTCAAGGCTAATAGAAGCTTTGATGATTGACAGGCGGCTGCCTGCTGCTCTCTCCAGCTCCTGGACTCGCACTGAGTCGGACTTTGTTTCTATTAGAAACCTCATTTCTCCAGACAGACAGATCAGCTGTGGCTGTGGTTAAGGACTGACAGTAATGGTTCACTTTTATCATGCGGAGCTGGCTGGACATAGGTTGGCCTCTGCTCTTCGTTAGGTTTGGCCCAGCTGAGCTCTGCCTTCTACAGTGCTGGCTCATTGAAATAGGTGATTGGTTGAAATGTCCGTACACATTCAGCATTGACTTTTTTCCCATAATTTCACTGCAGCAAAATTTGTAAATGGAGTCACTTGATTTTCTGATGATGTATTGAAACAATGCTTAGCCCCACGGGCTCCATGTTCCAAGCCAGTAACCCCACACTGGCACTGAGTTGTGTGTAGCTTCTCAGCAGCCTGCGGCGCTCAGGCACGATCAGGATGTGGAAGATAATGTGTTTTATGGTCCAGTGGAAACTGACTTGGGTGCAGCTCATGAACTTATATAAAGATGACCAATGCGTCACCACTTCTCTTCGCTACACAAACTTGAAGCCAAAATATTGTGAATGTGGCGGTGGCCATCTTGTCATTGTGCAGCCAGATTCTGCTCAGTAACTACTAAGTAGTTGAACAAGGTATCAGGCCACCAATCAAAGCTGTCAAATCAACTGAAACACACCATGTCATTAAAAACAAACTTACCAGAACAATGACCACCTGTACACACATCCGCATGATAATATCTACCAAAAACCACAGAAATCAACCCTGGGAAAAAGGTGTTTGATTAGTACTTTTTAGTTTGGCTCATGTGTGATCCACTAACATGGAGGGGGTGGGGTTTATGGGGGGCGATCGACTCACTGTGGCTTTACTTTGGGGAGCTGTCGTGTTGTCTGTCTTTCATACAGTCAGTGGTGCAGCTCGGGCTTCACTGTTGGTGGCAGGAGAAGCCAGAGAACAATGCCTGGCTAGTTAGCATAGTTTAGCCAGCTGAGCTAATATTAGCACTATATTAGCATTACCCAGTCCTTCAGCTTAAATCTAGTGCCCTGATGTGAACCTAAGCTAAAACAGGCAAACTGCTCTTTGAGTGATGGGTCCGCACACTGTCAGCTCAGCCTGAACTTTGTCGTCCATACTGTCGATCTGGTGAATCCTCGTGCTGAAGCAGTCGGTATATGCAAGACCTTTGAAATGTGTGAATCACATTGTAAAGAAATCTTCCCTGCTTTTTGGAATAATGTTTGGATGAAAAGAAAACTTCACGAGGAGCTGGAATGAGCAGGAATCCGTGGGTGGTCTTCACATGTACACACAGGCCTTTCACTGGAACTCACAGTGCGACCAACCAAGTGTGTGATGAAAAGAAACTCATTTTGAGTTTATACTTGTCATCTAGCGTTCCAGGTTTTTGTGCAGCAGATTGAAAAGGAATACATAGAGAAGTCATTGGAGCACACAGAGACGTCTGTTGCATGCAGAGTCCATAAATACATGACTGGCACTTGTGATACTGATACTTGAAATAGTGCTATAGAGTGCATGTGTGAGGCAGTAATCCAGAAGTGTTGTGTAACTTCCCCCGAGCCTTGTGCATTCCAGTGGGTTTGTATGTTCATTGTGTCAGTATTTTCCAGGAACTTGCTTTCTGCTTTGGTGTCATCAGACAGGTCTCGTTGGACCAAGCTCTCCTCACACTGCTCAGAGTGGGTGTTTGTGTTTGAGCTCCGGCGGCACTGGATTTCGCCAGAATGAGAGGAAATCAGTTTCATTTGTGCAAAATGTTCCTTCGCTCCCAGAGTAAAATAAGCATGCTTCACAGGAGGAGAAAAAGACATCAGTACCTGTTCTGTGTTTTACTCTCACTTTGTGTGAGACAGGAGAGAGCAGTGTGGGTTTGTCCATGTTGTTTCTGTCACATAATCCTGCACCGGCAAACAGAACCTGAACACTGAGATGCCACATGTTGATTCAGACTGAACTGCTGTGAGCTCAAAATGTCAGGCACAGGTCTCAGCCTATATTTCATGATGCCCCACTTTGTTCTCTTCTGTCTTTTTGTGGCTTCAGCCTGTGCACAGCAAAAGTATCTGTGGTAAATATAGCTGACCCTGAGCGTGAGAAATGGGACACTGTTTGTATCAAGTCACTCTTTAGTGCTTTTAAATAGTCCTGAACAGCTGTCCTACAGTACAGTTTTGAGTTATCTGTACTTTACCTGAGTACTTCCACATCCTGCTCCTTCATCCTGTGACTTTACTCCATGTCAGAGACAAACCGTGTACTTTTTACTACACTACATGTACCTGATACCTTCAGGTCCAGAATCAGATGAATCAAACCAAACCCAGTAGAACCATCAGACTCTATTGATCCCAGTAGGAAATCCACCAGCTACCCAGCAGGATGGAAAGTACTTCCCAGTATAAGTATATAAGGTAGTTACCATCAGCTCCACCTTTACCAGCTGCAGCATTAAAGTGATGGACACAGTAACATATCAGTAAGTAAAGAATCTGAGTACTTCTGCCATCACTGCTATTTTCAGAACACCAGGGTGATGTTCAACATCCGTGTAGTGGGAGGATCAGCATTTTACAGCTACCTGTCACCTCAGGAGGGACGGCCACTCCACCACCCTGCTGTCGACAGGTGAGTCTGTTGAAGATACACAACACACCAAGTTAATTCTGGTTGGGGGCTGACACACACACACACACACACACACACACACACATGCATTCAGCTGACCAGCATGACCTTCTGTTCTGGATGTGTTCAATGATTTTCCCTCCATCACCACAGCTTACACCATACACATAACATTAATGTTTACTGTATTTTGTTCTGCACAGTTATGGCCGTGCTCCCCGTCAAAGCCTGAATCCGGTGCAGCTGTGTTGAGCACGCACAGCTGCAGAAGCTGTTCTCATCTTTGTTCCCATCTGCATAAAAGTGAATAACTGTCGATGCAGTATCCTCTTATTCAAGTGTGTCTGACAGAATTACTAGAGTAGATATACAGCACACAGTCCATGTAGACAACTGGTCAGAAGTTTTAGAATGTTTCCAGCTATTATCAGTGTGACCCAACAGGTAAACACACCTGTGTCATTCACTCTGCAACTGTAACCAAACACTGTTGGGACAGACAGCACTGCTACAGATGTTCCCACAGATGTGTTGCACCTATAGGTTCTTTTGCTTCCACTTCATTCATCCATCCATTTTCGTCTGCTTATCTGGGGGTTGGGTCGCGGTGGCAGCAGGTTCAGCCTGGCAGTCCAGACCAGACGTGTGTCGTCGTCGTCCCCGGCGACATGTTCCAGCTTCTCTGGCGGGATTCCGAGGCATTCCCATAATCTCTGTTCCAGCATGTTCTGGGTCTGCCCCGGGGTCTCCTATCAGTTGGACGTGCCCAGAAGACCTCCACAGGGAGGCGCCCTGGAGGCATCTTGATAAGATGTTCGAACCACCTCAGCTGGCTTCTTTCGATGTGAAGGAGTTTTCTCTCTTCACCTGGAAAGTCTGGACACTGTGCTGCTGTTACATCATGTGAAGCTGTTCCATCTTGTTCTGTCCTCGTCCACAGCCTGGAGCAGTTTGTGGCTCATTTTCCTGCTACAGGGTGAAACCCTGAGAAGCTCTGACTCCCTGTGTTCATGGCCTTTTTCCACACGATGCTTCAGAGGAGGCAGTAACACAATCTGATCCAACAATGGCTGGGACAGTAGTAGGATCTGTTTGCATCAGTTTTCAAGGCTTCATTTGCTTCCACTGCTGCAGAAAATAAGGAAGTTAACCTGTTACTGAGCCATGAAAGAGGTCTGTTTTATTACTGAGCCATGAAAAAGGTCTGTTTTATATGACATATACACACATTTTTAGTTTGCTTTTTAGCTTCGTACTATTCAAGGCTAATTATTGAGCTTGGGCTGCTTACATGTCAGTAAAAACAGTAAAAACTAGGGATGTTTTAGGTGCTTTTCTGGAAAGAAGAACATTTGTAAAGGTACAGTCTCAGTAATCGACACAGAGTGACTATTACCTTTTTGTCTTATTGGCTACAAGGACGTTCTCCTGTTATTAGACAAGAGGATTATTAGTATTTACTTATTAGATTATTGTAAATGTGTTTACTTTAGTTGATGAATTACTGATATTCTAACATTTCAACACTGAAATGGCCCAGTGTCCCCACAAGCCCATTCAAAATTGATCTGATGTGATCAGTTTTAGTGCCATTTAAATCTGCTCCAGTCTAATCTAATAAAGCATTTCTGGAGAAAAGCAGCAGCTACAGGCAGTCAGCCAGTTACTGAAGGTATTCTGACATATAAACACACCAGGACAACTGTCGCAGCAGTTTTTACTGATTGACACTGCCTGTACAAGTGCTCTGAAGCCAGTGTTCTTTTCACACGTAATGTGTAGAAGAAAGACTTGGTTTTACAGCAGCACCTGAGATGTGCAGGCATTTCCTCACTGTCTCTGAGTGCATGTGATGGTTTTTGCTTGCAGACGTGGATCGGTGTTTCAAGGGGCCGTGTTGGCAGGCCTTCCATTTGTGCAGTTGCTAAGAACACTTCATTCAGTCACTGAATGCCGAATGCTGATGGGGCAAATGTGTTTCAAATCTTTTGAAATGCAAATGTGCAGCACAGTGTATCCTAGAAACTAATGCAATGACAGTGTCTGAACTCCAGTGACTCAGAAATATGCTCTGTCCCCAAGTCAACCCACATCAGCCAGTATAAGAATGTAGCAGTGCCAGACTCAAGTCATATACATCACTGTATCTGTTGTACCAGAGCTGTAATCTCTAATAGGGACTTGGAGTTAGCTTGTTTTGAGCCATGCTAGCAGCTAAGCTGTAGGGACTGCAATCCTAGTTGGTGGATTGCTGTGAGATTTCGTTTAGGTATTCAGGAGAAATCCCCTGCTTTTACTTTTGTGCCTCTGTGGGGGTGACTCTTGTGCTTTTTGGCGAAATGTTTCCTCAGCTATCGCGCTGCAATCCAACTTAAACATGTCTGACCTTGAAGTTGAAAACGAATGAACTATTGTACTATACTGAAGGATGTTTCTATTATTGTGTCCACCCCATTTATATAAGAGCGGCTGTGCTAAACACCAGAACCAGCTCTCAGTGCAACACAGTCCAGGTGAACAGCAGCACAACCTGCATCCTCTGCAGTGACCACACAGATGAACTGAAGATAAACAGAACATCATCACCTTCATGGAGGAGGATTTACTGCAGCGCTGTTGGACTAGTTTGAGACAGATGTTCCTAATAAACTGACCACTGATGCCCTTTGATATATATTCCTGTTCTTTCTCTTTGTATCAACAGAGATCTCTTTGTGCTTGTTCTTGGAAGGTTCAAGTTGAGCTTTGCTTGTTTCAGTGCCAGGTTTGTTCTTGATGCATGTGAAGCAGCAGCTGGACTCGAGCTCCAGTGACGTTTTGACTGTTTCCTGGACTTTTAACCACATCTCACAGAGTGGCCTGTGGAAGACTGAGATGCTTTTGAGAACTCGGCGAAGAGCCTCGAGTCTGTTATTTTGTCGGTTCATTGATGATGCTTTGAATTTCCTCTGTGATGTGTCTTAAAGGACGTGCACCATTATTTTGTTTGTTATTGTTAGTTTGTACAAAGCCCCTCCAGACGCTAACAGCACCAGTGAATGTGTGTGAATCCAGACCCTGGTTTAGCTTATTGCTCTGTGGCGTAGACCTCCACTGTTGTCCTAAAATGGTTCTGGATTCACACACACACACACACACACACCACATTCATTGTTGCTGTTGGTCTCTGGATGGGATTTGTGGGAAATAGCACATACCAAATCACCAGCTGCGTTCTTTAAGCTACGGTCGGTATAATTAAATCAGTGGAGTGTACCTTTGTATTTCTCTGGAGATTCTCAGTCATACTGTAACCAATCCTATGTTCACCTGGAACATCCCTAGTACAATTCCACATAATGTAGTGTCTCACACAAACACGCCTGGATCAGGCCCCTCGTGCTTCACTCAGTACTGTGGTCATGCTGACACCTAGTGGTTGAAAAGCATCGGTGCACTCAAAGGCTCTTAGTACAGTACATTTACTGTAAAGTGCAGCAACATTCAGAAAGCATGGAACAAATACAGCTGTTAATGTTGGATGCCCCTTCCACTACACTGGCTGACTGTCACCTTCTCAACACGTGTCAGAGCTCGTGTCTAATGAAGGAAACCACGTGACTGATGACCCCTCGAAGGTCGCTGGTGCTTCTGAAGACGCTTTGTTGCCTGCGAGAGTCTTGAATGCTTTGCAGCTAAATTGTGTGACAGGAAGGTTGTTGTCTGTTTTGGTGTTGTGCTTGTTTTGTCTGCTACTTGTGATGCTGCTGTCACTTGTAAAAGACGTTTCTAACCTCAGCGACACTGAACTGTTTAAACATTTGTTAAATTAGCGACACAGGGAGAGAGACCAGTTGAGAAACATGGCGATGTAGAATGACATAATGCTGAGAATCTTTCCACGTGACACCGAGCCATAGTGTCACTGCATCAGTTAATGAATGTCACTGTCCAGGCACATTATGACTCATGAAATGTTACAGAAACTACAAAGCTAAAACACATCAGTAACACTGGACCTTGAATAAAGTCCACAAATATTTAGTGGAACCAAAATATTTTAGCTCTCAGCTGATTGTACAACATTTTTATGAGCTATGTCACAGGCACTTTTAAATAAAGGTTTTACAAGTACTAGTTTCTGAGATGATAAACAACCAAGACTAGTAGTTCTACACACCTCAGACAGAGATGTTAATGCTTTGTTTTTATGCACTGTGTTTCTTACATGAGGCTTTGTAAATGTAATAATTTAATACAAAGTTCCAAAAAGACTTGGTAATAACACACAAACCTCTGAGACTTTCGTTACCACATATGAAACTGAAACTATCAAACTGGTCGAGGTATCGGAGAGCATCACTCCCTAAGAGCTGCTCTAAGTTTCACTTCCAGATGTTGCTGTGCTGTCTTTGTTTGAGGCCATGAAGCTTTGGGTCTTTAAGAAAGACCCAAAGCTTCATGCAGCCATCACTACCTGCCACTATTGTGTCTTTCAGAGCTCTGAAGCTCTGCAGCTCAGGAGGACCTCCGCACGTGAAGCTCATCATCGAGTGGGAGCACAGAGTCAAAGACTGGTCAGCACAGTTTATGTTCCAGGCCAGCACCCAAATATTCACCTGACATGAATCTACTTGTGTAACCATGTCTGTGTGTCCTGTGCTGCAGCCTATTTGGCAACATTCAGGAGGAGGTGGTGAAGGATGCAGAGAGCGTGAGGGGTCAGCAGCAGCAGCATGTCCAGCAGTACAGCTGCACCCTGGACGAGTGCTTCCAACTCTACACCAAAGAGGAACAGGTAGTCAGTCGCTTACGACAGCAACGTTGAGCTTTCTGAGCCCTGCCCCGTCTCCTGTTGTAAGATCTGCAGCAGCAGTGATGTGACCAAAAAATAATAAACACGCTGCTTGTCTTTTTATTTCTCACAGCATCAGTTATCTCAGTGGCATCGTTCTGCAGCAGCTGGAGTTACTGATCAGACAGTTTTGGTGACTTTGAGTCCTCTTCTCCAGATGTTTGAGCAGTAACCCCATTATAAATGTTTGTGTACAATAGGCACAGTGGCTGGGGACTTAAAACGTCAAACTGAAGAACATATAAGACCCATATAGGACATATAATTGAAGGTTTTAGTTCTCATTTAATACTAATGTGGTTAATAAGGCTTATTTTCCACTTTTAAAGAAGCACAAGGACAAATGTATATAGAGACAACAGGCTGAGATAAATTAAGACAAATGATAAATGATATAAACAACAGGAAGAACTCGGTGTGTGAAGGTTAATGGGCTTAGCTATTTTAGATAAACCGCCCTCAGACATTTGCAGACGGAGCTCACAGAGCTCATTTTATAGTCATAACTTAAGATTACAAGACACATAGGTGCTGTCTCTTACATGCAGAGATGGGAAAGGCAGAGCTGATGTTTTCTGCTCCTGCCACTTGGAACAGCCTGCAGAGGGAAACCACTGCAGGTTAATGGCACTGGTTTCACTGAGAGCTGTAAAATCACTGGTGAATGTTTGGTTTCATTCTGAACTCTCTTAATTCTTGGTTTTAATACTGTTTTATAGTTGCTCTGTTGTCTCTTGTAGATTTTGTACATTGTTGTCTGTCTTAGTGTCATATATTTTGGTTCTTTGCCTGGAGCTCTCTTGGAAAAGAGGTTTGTAAGCTCTGTGGGGTTTCCTCTGATTAAATAGAAATAAATAAAAGAATTCAAATCCAGACACTGTAAAGGAGGTCTAGGTTTTGATTAATCAGGAATAAGTGGAATAGATGTGTGAATGTTCAGGCTCTGTCAGGTTGTCACCTTCTCTCCTCGTCTCCCTCCCCCACCAGCTCGCCCCAGACGACGCCTGGAAGTGCCCCCACTGTAAGCAGCTGCAGCAGGGCATGGTGAAGATGAGCCTGTGGACGCTGCCGGACATCCTCATCCTCCACCTGAAGCGCTTCAGGCAGGTGGGAGAGCGCAGGAACAAGCTCGCCACATTCGTGCATTTCCCCCTGGCGAGCCTGGACATGACGCCCCACATGGTACACCGCAACCATGGCAACCATCAGCCCTCTCTCCAGCCCGGATGGAAGCAGCCCCGACGGCCTGACCTGGCTCCCCCTGACTTTCTGTACGATCTGTATGCTGTGTGCAATCACCACGGAGGAATGCACGGCGGGCATTACACAGGTCAGACAACTTCTGATGGCCTACACTCAGTGGTCAGTTTATGAGGAGCACCTGTGTCAAGCTGAGTCAGTCTAATCCAGTAGTGCTCCTCCTTCGTGAAGGCGATAACGTTTGGTTTCATGTTGTGATGCGTTGCTCTGTGATCACTGTGGAGGCTGCAGTTTGTAAGGACAGATGTTTCTGTTAATGTGTCCACCCCGTGCACATCAATAAGACTAATGCATTGCAGTTGCAGCTGAGCAGCAGCACAAACTCCAGTTGAATCAACACCTTTCTAAAACAGGTGCCAAAGATGAGTCGCTTTTTGAATCTTGTATGAAATTGGTGATTTTTCTCACTAGCTGTAGGCTAATGTCTGCACAGCTCCATTCTATTGTTTGTAGAAAGAAGTAATGTTATTGCTAATAAAGCAATAATAGCAATGAAAGCCGTTAAGGTTGCAGTTTTGATGTGTAGTCAGATCTTGCTGACTCCAGCAATCTCTTAACCAGGTATAACACTGAGAGCTCAGACTCAGCGAAATCTCGAGCCTATCTCCACCACAGTAAGGACAGAAAACACAAACAGAAAACAAGACATAGAATGGAAATACCAGCCCAACAGTTTCTGTCCTGGCAAAGCAGAGAGGACTTTAAACTCCAACAGAAAGGTTTTCAGAGTCAGGAAGGTTCTGTCTGCACAGCACCTCTTGTAAAAATGTGATAGGGTTTGGATATTATCACGAGTGACTTCAGGGAGCCGCGCCAGGTCCTGATTTTCTGCCTGCTACTCATCTCTCTCCGTTCCTGTGATTGCAGCCTTCTGCAGGAACTCTGTGGACGGCCAGTGGTACAGCTACGACGACAGCAGCGTGGAGCCGGTTCCAGACGGGGAGGTGTGCACACGTGGAGCCTACATCCTGTTCTACCAAAGGAGAAACACCATCCCCCCCTGGTCTGCCAGCTCCTCAGTCACTGGTTAGTCAGGTGGAGGCTGCTTCTGATAAAATACAGAAACACTGGAGGGAATGTGAGGGTGTCATTATTTGATGCTCCTCAGTGAGACATCAGTTCATGTTCTAGCCAGTAAATGAAGGTTTGCAGCGGTTGTAAAGAAAAGCTGCAATTTCACCTCGAAGGTTTCAGCCTCCACATGAGGAGACAGATCTCACTGTGCAGTGCACCTGCAGTTTGCTCAGACAAAAACAAACTCCATTCTCTTCTTCACTGTGCAGGTTCCACCAACTCATCCACGTCTGACCACTGGCTGGTCAGGCTGACAGGGAGTAGTGAGAGGGGCAGTGTGGGGTCAGGAGGACCCATCCCTGGACCTGCAGAGCCCATGCAGGCCCCAGAGTCTCCTGAGCTGCCAGTGTTTGGAGATGAACCCCCCAGAACAGTAGAAACAAGTAGGCAGCATGTTGCATGCTATGTTGTTAATTGTCTTGACACTGCTGCAGATGAAAAACACACATCGTATTAAGGTAAACAAGTATTTTATTTTGGTGGGAACGGCGGGTTACAGCAAACGCTCTCTGAGCAGCTGCTTTGGCAGAAGTACAACAGAGGAGGAGCTGATGTGTCTGTTCACAGAGCAGCCAAACAACCTTGTGTTGTTTTAATAAAGAAGTCACTGTGCAGTATGCTCACTGAGTTTCCTGTGGCTCCTTCACAATAAAAGCAGCAGAATGTTCAGTTTGCATTAGTAGTTGCTTGAATATTTATGATTATCAAGATAAAAATTAAAACAGTAGTAGTATCGCATTAATTCCTGGGAATCCCACCTGCCGTAACAATATTAATCCATCATATTAATCTGCCACTAATGATAAAAACTGCTATATAGAAAGGTCACTACAGACACAGATATACCGGATAGGTGTTGGTGAAAAAATGCTGACCATGAATCAAAACAAAAACTGATTTCAAGAAAATCTGAAGGATCGCGGCTCTAAGTTGTCATTTCCCTGGAATAACCAATAAGGGTTGAAACATGTGCTTTTACAATCCTACATTTTATTCCAAATGACTGGTGAGATAAACTAAAGCTCTGTCTAAATGTCTGCATCAAAGTAAATTAGCTATGAAATGTTTCATCCAGAACATTGAACTTGTTTTTATGCTTGTGAGTTCTATGTATTTGCATAAATGTTTACCAATTTTTTACTTGGCAAAAACAAATCCATTTTTAAACCTAATATAAATATTCCTTATTAGCTATAGTAGTAATAGCAGTAATGTAAATAGTACTGATGTATATCTTTTCCCACAGATGGGTTTGAAGCCAAGCCCTTTGTCCGTGGAACCCAAGGCAGGAGCGTCAGCATGAGATCGCCAACTAAGTCCAAGGAGAATCTGAGTAAAGTTCTCCCACTGCGATGGTCCTTTGGCTCCAAGGACCGGATTAAACACCCAGCCCAGACCCAGCCTGGAGAACTGGTGGAGTATCTGGAGTCCGGGCGCCGGCCACGATGTACCAAAGACCCTATCATCTCGCTGGTGGCCACCCCACCGCAACGGACCACCCAGGGAAGAGACTTTGAAACAGGCCAGGACTGCAGCTCACCCAGCAGCAGCAGTCTCAGTTGTACAGACAGACCCGGCTCTGACACTTGTTACTCCCCCAAGATCCCAGAGGGACAGAGCAGAGCGTGTGTGGAGAGGAACGCCAACCAGGGGGTTGGGCGCAGCAGAGCCAGAGATGAATTGTCCCTGAGGCAAAGATCGTCTAAGAGGGGGAGGCAGGACCAGGGCAGGACCCTGGACTTCCAGCTGCAGAGAGGAGCCATTCTAGGGGGTCACATCAGCCACAGCGCACCTCCCAGCAGAGACTCCACACTGAGAGGAACCAAGGTCCAGACAGGGGTGAGCTCCAGGGTACAAAAAGACTTGTTACAGATGGTAATGCAACCTGAGGACAGGGTGGGACAGAGGGGGCAGGAGGGTTGCAGCCATGACAGCCTCTTGTCTTTTTTCAAACCCGGTTTCATGAAGAAAGATGCTCCTAGGTCGCCAGTGAAGGGGCACGACAGGTGTGTGAAAGGCCATGGACAACAGGGGAAGCTGGTAGGCCAGCTCTCCCTCTCCAATGGGACGCTGACCACAGCGGCGCTCGAAGACAGGAAGGCCGGTGTCGTCCCCGGTTGTGACACTCAGAATTACCAGGTCCAGCTAGTCAACGGCACAGCTGGGAATCATCTCGTAGACGCTGTGGACATCAAGCGTGCTCACAGCTCCAGCAACATCCAGATGAAGCTGGATGGGTCATTTCGCAGGTGTGCCTCCCTGCAGAGGAATGGTGAAGTCATGGTTCCTCCGGCCTACCGCCTGCTGCTGTCAGACAGGCCCGGCTACGCCACTCTGCGCGGGGCGCGATACAGTACCACCTCCCTGGGTAGGCACACACCTGTCAGTGACTGTGGGCACCAGCACACCCTGAGAACAGGCTGTGTCAAATGAAAGCACATGGTGTGGGCGGGTATATGATGGCACCTCCACTGGTAAACAAGAATAATGTGGGTTCTCTGGTCAGATGGGACAGAAACTGAACGTAGGCTGATGGGCTAAAATATCAAGTTTATTCATTTAAAATGAAACCTGTAGCACAATCAGCTGTGCAAAACGTGAAGGGGTGTGATTACTCTCTGAAGTCAGGTCTGTTTTATTATTATTAATGTGACTTTGGTTGTCGCGTGACTGATGCTCTGTTGTGTTCGTCTGGTTCCCAGTGCCTCTGTGACAGCCCCGAATGACCTCTCCACTGATCAGCTGCTCAGCCAGAGAAGCTCCCAGCAGGAGGCAGTGCTGGAATCGAAGTACATCTTGTCCTCTTCGTAGTACTGTTACACGTTCTTACCTGTGTGTGTCTTAAACTAAATCTATGCAGCGTTGAGGTTACCGAGGAGAAATACTGCTGTAATGTGATGTTTTCCCTCTGTTTGTTTTACAAAGCAGTCTGCTGTTAATGTTCAGTATTTGAGGAGTAGTAGATTTGGTGAATTTTCAGGTTTTAGCTCCTTATACACACACTTCAATGTAATCAGCAACTGTTTAGGAGGTAGGAAATCAGCCTGGTACATGTGTCAGTTCATTCAACATATACAGCTTAATAATAACAGGCTAAAACATGTCAAATTGTTCTTAAACACTGAAAACAATACTGACACCTGCACTGTAAATTGACTGCTGTAACAACATCACCGTTGCTTTGAATTATGCGATAATGTTCCTGTTTTATTACCAACACACTATGTTGTTACATGACCAGAGATTAGACTGCTCCGATACCGACAACAAGCAGGAGGACTTGTGTCTGTTTCTGTGTTGACAGTTCATCTACATCCCGTCACCTGCACATCACTGAACTGTGGGAGGTGTGTGGTTGTACAGCAGCATTAGTCAGCATTGTTCTTCTCTGCAGCCACGGGGAAGTGATGAGTCCTAACGGTGATCCTGCTCTGTCACAGTCACATAGAGCCACCAGAGCAGCAGCTGACGTTCCCGCCATATACCTGATGTATATTTAATTCACAGTCACTGGTCATAATTGGTGTTTCTGCCTCTGGTTCTCCTGCTGTTTGAGGAGGAGGAGCCAAACTTCACTTGATGATTTGTGTCTCTAACCCCCATGTTTCAAGTCATGCACTGTAAGTGTGTAACATACTGGGGAAGAGAAGTGAGAGTGCACGCTGGTTGTTCACGCTGTAACTGTGTTCACATTTCATGCTGTGTCGTTTTATATCACTGCTTCACTACACTCGTCACCAAAATGAAAGTAAACAGAATGTTTCTGAGACATTATCTAGGAAGTATGGTTAGATTATATTTTATTATTAACTTTTTTAAAAGTCTACATTTTGTACCTGATGTGTAATTATTAATTAAAACAGTCTGTATTAGATCACATTAATACATACAGTGAGGGGGTTGGATTGGACACATCACACTCAAGTCCCTGTACTGGACCGTCTTTAATGTCTGCTTCATGTCCTGCAAGTTTGATGGATGCAAATTAAACACAGATTTTCTCACAGATGACTCCAGTGTATCTGAATGAGTGTTTCATCTCTCTTATCTCTGCTCACATCAGGCAGCTGTGGTGTTTTGTAGATTTTGACACAGGTGTGTGCATCCTGCAGCAGCGGCAGCACTCCAGAGCTCCGTTGGAGGCTGGTTTCCCAGACACACGGTGAAGTGACGCCAGGGCATTGAGACATTCTAGGGCTTCCTATAGTGCA